AGTAGTGACCGGGTAGTTTAGGCTTTTCAGATTTTTATCAGGCACATTTTGTACATTAAAAATTAGTGCTGCTTCTTTTCTAAATTGCCAGTTCCCAGATGTTATGTTTGGCAGGCCTCACCAAGATGAAGATCACCTCACTAGTGGCCTGCCAGTTGCCAAGTGTTCAAGAGTGAACAACAGGACACAAGGGATGTTTGAAAGGCAACTTCCGCTTCCATGGGTGGAGCTCACAGGTGGGCTCTGAATAACAAAACCATGTTTCACTGGGAGCCCAAACACACTTAATCACTGGCCAGACCCCATTCATTCCCTGGAATGACACTGGCCTTTAGCAACAGGATGTGAACCTCTCCCAAACTACGTCTAATGGGAATAGACACATTCCTAATCTGGCTCAGTCTAGTTTAAGATTAATGTTTAGTAGTCTAAAACAAGGGTGAAAGTCAGTTTAAATCAGGGGTAGGCAACCTTTCCCCTTTAAGGGCCGAGGAACTTCAGCTCCCAGAATCCCAGGAGCTATTAACCAACATGGGACTATTGGCCAACATGGCTGAGGCTTCTGGGAGCTGCAGTCCCTTGGCCCTTAAAGGGGAAAGGTTGCCTATCCCTGGTTTAAATGCTTTAGAATGGAAGCAAAACAGCAACAACAAAATCCAGGGGCCAATATTTAATAAGTCCTGTATTTTAGGGTGGCAGATAACAAATTCTCATAATGAAGAGTGACATTTCTAAGATCCTGGGCAACCAGGTGCCTGGGATCTCCCGCACCACTTGATAAGGAGAGATGGGCAGACTTCAGTCTTGTGGGATCTATTTTGTTTTCCACAATAAAAATGAGGTCCATCAATCAGAGCCAGGTGCAAAACGAGGGCTCAGAAAGAAAAACAAAAATTTGGGGAACAAGCTGTCTCTGGCGTGTACGCTCAACCCAACAATTTGCATTCAGTAAGGCAAATAAGGCTCTCACACACCTATTCACTCCTTCTTTCCCACACCCTTGCCTGATTTCAACAGCTTAACTTCAGAAGCAAAGGCAGCGCCTTGTTGTGCTATTGTTAAAAGCAACCTGACTTGACTAAATGACACAGATTAGGAAAGCCTTGTAGACATGTTGCAGATCACCTGGATATTTACCAGAAGATCCCAATCTATCGTCCACCTACCCAGCCAAACTAAAAGGACACAAATCACCAGGGACTATTCTGAAGTGGCAGCTTGCAAGCACTGGGAGGGGCATCAACCAGCAAGGAAGGAAGGAAGGAAGCCATGCTAACCCCTCCCCAGTCAGTGCATCGTCATACCAAGAGGCTACTACAAACTGGAAAGCAACAGAGGATCAAAGGGAAGGATTAAGAACCCCAATGGGAGGAAGAGAAGAGAATGGCCATGCCACTCCCTTCAGAGGAGACAGTTCCGGCACATAGGTCCTTTCTCTCTTAAAAGCCTTTTTCAGAGCTACAGAAAGGAATCTGAGACAACATCATGCTCATATTATCATATGTGGGCAGGACAGGGGGGAAGACAACAGTCACTTAGATCTGCAACCTGGGGGCAACTTACTTCACTGTCTTCTCAACCAGACCACTCCCTAAACTGCAAGGGGACACCAAGAAAATGAGTAAATAGGGAGAATAAACACAGAGGTGCTCAGGAATTTAAAACAAAAACATGCATACAAAGCCAGGACTCAGAGGTTAAATACTTTAGAAGAAGAAAACAAACAGGCAAAGGAAGCATCACAGCTGGATATAGGTTTCAGAGGATGCAACATCCCCCCATCCTTCTCCCCCCATCATACCCCATGTTTTCTGGGTTGGCAGAAAGCATTTTTACAAAAAGTAATTAGTGCAAACCTAGTTAGGAAGGAGGGAGGGAGGGAGGAAAGGAAGCAGGTGATGCTTAGCCTTCCCATCCCCTCTTTCCCCAACCCCCATCCTAAAGGCTTGGAGATACACCAAATGCACAATGTAGGAAAAACCTTTCTCCTGAGAACTGCCTTAAAGACGGGCACAGATCCCCTGAAGTGCCTGCGATAAGGTGGCCTCTACATGCACCGCTCTGTTCTCACATCATCCCAGCACATGCCATACAGGAGCATCACTTTCTACAGGGGATCTGATTATCTGTTTTATTCTGTATTCTGTGTTTGTGCATGTGTAGCTGTTTGTTTATTTTTGCATTGTAGTTTACTATTGCGTTTTACTGCTGCATTTTTAGTATTGTATTCTAGTATGTTATATTATTGAAGCAGTTCTAAATGTAGCGCCATGTACACGGATGGCGCTATATAAGTAAATGATTATAATATTAATATTAATATTAATATTGAGTGTGTGGAGCTGGTTGGTGTTAAGTATCTCAAGGAAGAATCATACTCTTTTTATTCTTTAAAGATCCCCTCCCCTCACAACAAGGTGTGTGTGGATGGGGGTTGAGGGGACACTATCAACAAAAGGGAAGACTCTAAAAACCTGGACAAGAAACCCACCCAGGCCTGGAGGCTAAAGGCAACTCCCTTCCCCTTCCAGCCCCATTTGCCTGCAGATGACCAGATGTGGGGACTGTTTCTCTCCCCCCAGTCACCCATGAGGCCATTTTCTTCACAAGACCCACACACACACCCTTCTTGCCACACTGAGGGCTCCCTCCCTCCCACACTTTCTGTCCAAAGGGGGGAACCCTCTCCTCAATTGCAATCCCACCCCATCCATACACACAGGGTGACCAGCTGTCCTCACCACTGCCAAGGAGGACAAGGCACCGCAAAATGGAGGACCCTCCAGAATAAACAGGACATGCCCATAGAAAAGCTGCCAGCACTCACAGAAATGTAAATTCATGCAGCTTAGTCGTGCTCCAAATGGAAGACATTCCAGAATAAATGGAGGACATGACCCAAGGAAAAGAGGCACACACGCTCCTAAGAAATAGAAATGCATATTCTTCATCGTGCTCCAAAGGGAGGACCTTCCAGGTAAATGGAGGGCATGCCCACATAAAATCTACACTCATAGACATGTAAATGCATGCTGCTTAGTCGTGCTTCAAATGAAAGGCCTTCCACAATAATTGGAGACATGACCTAAGGGGGTGGAAAAACTACACACTCACAGAAAAGTACATTCGTGCTGCTTCGTCGTGCTCCCAAATTAAAATTAAAAGGAGGACAGAACCCCATAAAAACCTACACTCCTCGAAAGGCAAATGCATGCTGCTTCACCGTCGTGCTCCAAATGGGGGAGGACATTTGGGCATTCCTCCTGGGCAGAAGGGGGAAATGGAGGACAGGTCCTGGGAAAGGAGGAAGAGTCTGGTCACCCTCCTGTCTGGGAGTCTCTCTCTCTCTCAGACTTAAAAATACACTAAAGTAGCGACACTAAAGGGCTCCTAGGAGAAGCTTGGCCTCCACTTTGGAGACTCGGCTTACAGAGCCCGCCTTTTTTGGAGGGGCTGGGGCTGAGGGGGGGGGG